TTTTTTTGAAACTTTTGTTCATTAGTTTGTAAATTTAATATGGTTAGCATTAATCTGATAAACTTGTGCTGTATTTATTAACAGATACAGGATCTGCGCCACAAATTCAACAGTCTGACCATACTTGAGGAGTGTGGATGGGAGAAAGCCAGCAATACGAGCAAAGATGTGTTTCAGGTAAATTTGTGGATTTCTAATATAGACTCTTTTACTTTAATGAATTTAAGCTTTAGAAACATTTAGCTTCAGGTTTTTCATCATTTCACAAAACGTGTCATCTATTACTTACAATGTCCTGATTGTCTTGAAAGAGTGAGGAAAGGTCAACACAAAATTCAGGATGGTCATTTCTGGGGCGGGGGGGGGGGGGGCGGGGCTGAGATTGGATTTGGTCCCCCTGAGAGCTTCTGAGTTGCTAAGGAGTGGTATGTACCAGTGTGTTTTATTCTCTAGACTGTACCTATCCATTGTTTTGTAGTAATAATAGCAGTAGTAAATAATTTATATAATGCTTAGTATGTGCCAACTATGCTTCCCAGGCCCTTATACACATGGACTCAGTTAATCCTCACAGCAGTCCTGTGAGGTGGGTGCCATTATCCTCGGGTGGGGAATCTGAGGCCAGGAAGACTCGAGCACGTGCCCAAGGTGGAGCTGGGTTTCTCACTCCAGAACCCATGTTCTTAACCCACAGGCTATACCGTCTCTCTGCTTTATATACTCTTGTGTGTGATGTATTTCAAAATGAAGGAACTTTTTAAGGAGAAAAGAGGAACAATGACTCTTAGACTCTCTCTCTTCTTCCCAAATTTTATCATGGAAAAGTTCCTGTTTTCTCTGTAAAATTGGCTTTGTTGACATGATACATTCCATTCTTATCTATTTGTAGTAATTTTTTTCCTAAAATATTTTAACTCCAAGCTTTTGGTTCAGATTGCTACTTCTCAAGCCACCTTGGAGCCCTGCCACTTTTTCTTTTGGATTTTAGAAGAACGCCTGTGGTTGTAAAATCAGGTTTCTAAACTGGTACTTTATTACGCTGTGTAATCCAAATAAAAACTGTGTTTTGAATTCTGTCTTAGGAGTTTAAGATGTTAGAGTATTAAAGGATTATGGTAGGATTATTTTACTAATGAAGTCTCCTTATTTTACTAATGAAGTAATGTCTTAGTAAGACATTGGTAATGTCTTACTAATGACAAAGGCCCTGAGGACAGTGACGAGATTGACTGAATGAATTTCAAGTCTGTTAAGCAGGAAGGATGCTGGGACATTTGGACCTCCTGTGGGCATTTTTTATCTGGTGCTTAGTCCTGGGAACATAACACCACCAGCGACGCAGATAATGGCTGTGTCAAGATAGCATTATATCAGAGCCTTGTAATTCTGCCCCTTACCCCCAGTGTTTCTCTCCTACTTTATTTTATTTTATTTTATTTTGGATTTAGTTGATTTTATTTACAGCTTGTTTTTTTACATTTCAGAGCATTACACAATTACATTTTCTCATTTTCTGACCTGCAAACAGATACCTTAAATGAAAATATTTTTTAAAAATTATCAAATTAGGTACGTCCAAAATGCAACAATTACACATATGACAATTAATTCATAAAGTGTAATTTACTAGGACGTATCCTAGGAATTTAGGAACAGCCAGTCAGGAAATCTGACCAAATTCAGCAATCGACTATTTACATATCCAAAGACAAAGCTATCTAAATTCCCAAACCAGAAGTTTGAAAGTTTTTGTTAAATTACCATTGGATGAAAGAGAGAGAGTGATGATTCAAACCTAGCCAGCTGTGACAGACTCAGTCTCAAATACTGGGCTAGGTACCCAGTCTGCAACTGAATAGCAAGCATCTCAGTTTTTCAGACACCTATGCGCCATTCTTGCACCATTATGCACATAGAAAGGCTAAGTGTTCGTTAATTAAAAAGCAAGTAGTCATTAAATATCCACAATATTCCCCCCAGCTCACCAGCCTTACTGCAATCCCGAATATGCAACCTGTGTCACATAGTGACAGGCTATATTTTATATATATATGTGTATATACACACACATATATGTACGTGTCTGTATATATATATATACACATACACACAGTGCTAGGTACAAATGGCAATTAACAGTCCCTGCAAAAATTCATTTTCAGTTGAGGCTATGGCTCCTATGCCTTGGTATGGTTTTAGACGTCAAAACTGAAAAATACTGCTAAAATCTCACTTCCTTAAGACAAAATTTGATTGCTTGTTCAGTTTAAGCTTCTCAGTCTAAAAATGGCTATAAGGTAAGTATAAAAAAAGCAGCCAACTGAGTGCAATTTCTCTCTCCGATTTGGCCAGGCTATTTCATAGAAGTTACTCCTAACTAAATTAGGAGATCTGTGGTGCCTTCCAATGGTTCTTGCCTACCTTCCTGTCCATGTTCACGTTTCAAACTGTGTCGACAGAGCCCGCACTTCAGGGGTCAGCTGCTTGGCAGCCTTAGCTGCCTCTGTGATAGCCTTGCGATACAGGGCCTTTCTCTTCTTATTAAAGCATGACTGGAAGTTTTCTAAAAAGGGGTAGAGTTGCGAAAGAGCAAGGAAAGATGTTGTTGGAGACCCAAACCATGAAATACGGGCCTCCTGTCGAACTAAAAGGCCGTTATCTTTCCAGCTCACAGTTATGGTAAGAATACGGGCTGGCCACCAAGGGAAGCCATATATCTTGGCCCAAACAATGTCCCCTACACATATGGTCCTGCCATCTGCTGTGACATATTTAGAGACGTTTTTGGAAAAGACTTTCATTTTCAAGGAATTACTGAGCTTTTTCTCTTCCTTTGAAGAGGAGGAAGTGGAGGAGGTGGAAGTTGCGTGCATACTGCCTGGAGGAAAATCAAAGCTTTCAGAAGAACTACACTCAGAGTTGGAGGATTTCAGCTCATCCGTGCTATCAATGCTACACACTGACGCACCGGAAGAGTCAGATTTCTTTGATTTAGGGTCATGTAAACAGAGATATTGCTTTTGCTGCCCTTTTTGCCCAGTGTCTGTGGTTCCTCCTACTCATCAGGCACAAGCACTTCGTTTGTGTCCTGAACCGCACAGCTGGCCTCTTCAGGGCCGTCTGAGGGGCTCTGATTTTCTGAAGGGGCCTCACCTGCTGAGCGGGTAGAGGTGCAGCGAGCCTGGGGCTTGGGTGCCATCTTGCCACTCCGCATTTTCTCAAGTCCTGTCTTCAGAGAGGAGTCATTTTCTTCATTGCTGTACCTTTGTGGCTTTAGACGAACCCAGGGTGGAAGGGAACCTGAGCTAGGATTCTGATAGCGGCATGTGAAAGGGACTTTTGAATGTGCATTTTTGGACATAGAGGTTTCACTTTGCTTCTTTTGTGCCTTTGCTTTGGCAATTTTCAACACTTCCCGAGCTTTTGCATGATCCATGTTCTTACTCTGGAGCACTTTTTTAGTACTTAACTGAGCTTTTCATGTGTTGGTCTGAGCAGAAACTTTGACTACTCTGCCTCAGCTATGAGCAATATTTGAAACCTTAACCACAGCGTTTCTTTTCTGGCTTTCATTTTGGTTTTTCCCATCCACTTTATGGTCAGTTTTCAGTGTTTTGTTCACAGTAGTTACGCTTTCATTTCTCCGTTTTTTATCTTCGTATTTAGAAGAGTCACTTGCACTACTGCCTTTTCTAATTTCCTTTTTTTCAGCAACAACACTGTTTTTACATTTGTCACACAGGACTTGCCGGGGCCGTAGTTTAATAGCATTCATTATTGAAGTAGGTTCTTCCCTGTACATCTTTCGTTTGGGTCGCTTAATTTTCCACGGAGGTGGCTGAGGTATTGATTGGTTATATGTGTCCCTGATAAACAAAGGGGGAGGATAAGGTGCTCCTTCGTGGAAGAGAGGAGGTGGTTTGGAAGTCCACAGGCTTTCAGCCAAGCTCGGCTGGGGAGGCGGGACAGGAGGGGGATCCCCAGGAACAGCACCATTCGCTTCACGCTGGACTTCTGTCCCTTCTTGGAATGTGTTACTTTGAAGCTGCATAGCTTCGGGTTTATCCTTCTATTCCCTTTTGGGAAATACTGTCACAAGGGTCCCACGGGGCCCAAACCATCGGAGTGTGTGCTGCTGCAGGAAACAGAATGGAGAGCCGTGAAAGGGAGTCTCTGCACTTCCTATCTTTTGGACAGATCCGTGAGGACCCCGGAGAAGAGCTTCTCCCCGAGGCGGAACGACACGACGCGCGTCCTCAATGATGGGGTGCAGCGTGACCCGCACCTCCGAGCGGGGATGAGTTGCGACAGCGCGGAGTCCCGCCCGCCGGCGGCACGAGCGCGGGGCTGCGGGCTGGGGCCGCGGCGGCTCCGGGCGCTCCTCGGGGGCCGGGGGCTCTCGGGCGGCGGGCAGGGGAAGGAGAGGGTCGGCCCTTCCTGAGCGCGGCTGCCGCGGCTCCAGCACCCGGCGGGCGGGCGGCTTCTCCTCGGCCTCCAGCCCCGGCCCCGCCGCCTCCGGGCTGCGGGCGAGCTCCCCCGGCGGCGGCGGCGGCTCGGCCTGAGGAGAGGACTGCTGGTCGTCGGCCTCGCCGTCAGGCACCGAGGCTTCAGTGGCCGTGACCGGGAGGGGGTCCGTGCCGGCCTCGCTGCGGGGAGGGCTCCATCTCCGGCTCAGCCTCCCCGGGGGACGCTGCAGGCGCTGCCGCCATTTCTTCCTGGCTTCTCCCTCCTCCTGGTCCTCTCCTACTTTACTTTATAGGCCACTGTTAAGATTACTGAACAAGTAAAATCAAACTAATCTTTTATCTGTACTTTGAAACCATTCCCTCAGACCTCTTATTCATTGACCTCTCCTCCCATCAGTTAGCCTCGTTCTCTAGTTTCCATCAGTTTTTAGACATGTTGAGGGGTCTTGTCTTTGTTTACATTAAATGACAACAGCCTAGACTAACTCCTTGAGGGCAGGAACTTTGTCCTTTACCTTTGACCCCCAGCACGTTTAGCACATACTAGGAACTTGATAAGTATAAGACGGATGTGTGAAATATTTCAGGTATGCTTTATTTATTTTTCTTATAAGATGGTAACGAGTTGCTTTAGTAAATGTCATAATTTCTCTTTGTAGGACAAATTTGTTTCAGGTATAGCGAGTGAACCAAAACAGGATGGTGCTGGGATCCCAGACGGGGGTCGCCTCGCTGCTGTGAAGAAGGCAGTGAGAGAGAGGATGCAGCCGGGAGAGCGTGCTGAGGCCGTGGGCTCTGCGGTGCCGAAGGAAGTTGATCATATAATGTTTGACGCTGGATCTTTTAGAATCGAAAGTCCCGTTAAATCGTTCTCAGGTTAGTTTTTCTGCTGAGACTGCTTAAGAAAAGTATTTGGCTTGGATGGGAGCTTGTACAGGAGGTGAAAAAATTTTCACAGGAAGTGATATAAGCTGTCTGTGATTTCTGGAAAATAGACCACATCCTCACCACCAAACACTTGCAGATTTCGTTTGATGGATGGGATTCGATTACTTGAAGTGACAAATCTCCTGAAGTTGCTTTTCTGTGTTTGCTAAGTGACTTCACTTCTGTTATTAGCCCCTAACCCCACGGTCCTGGGAGGAAGGTCACAGGTCCCAAGAGGGAAGGGAGATGATGAGGAGTGAGGTGATTTCCTTCAGGTTGGTGCCAGGCTGGATGAGAATTTCAGATGCAAAGGAAGCTTAGGCACCAAACCATCACACTTCTCTGGCTGTGCTTAAAAAATGATGCTTATGGAAGGTGGGTTTGGTTTTATTTTCATTTGTATCAAAACTTTTGCCCAGAACTTTTGAAACACAGTAAATGTGCTAATTTCAAAATATTCCAAGGAAATCAGCTGAGGTAGACCCCGGTTGTGGTAGACCTATTAAAAATCAACAACAGGGGCTGGGCCTTCCTGGTGGCATAGTGGCTGGGCTTCTGCACTACGCTTCGGTGGCCCAGGGTTTGCAGGTTTGAAACCTGGGCACGGACCTACACACTGTTCATCAAGCCATGCTGCAGTGGTATCCCATATACAAAATGGAGGAAGATTGCCACAGATGTTGGCTCAGCGGCCATCTTCCTCACCAAAAAAAAAAAAAAAATCAACAGCAGATACTAATCCATGTTGGATATAAGTAGCATTTTACATTAGACCAAACTATTTGGGATCCTTCGTTGTTTGTGAAGACTCAGAATTAGAGAAATTCCCTGAAGTTTTATTAGTTCTCCTCCTTTTCAACACACATCGTCAAACCTTTCTTCCAAATGACCAATTTTTCTTCCCTAATGCCTACTCCTACCTACTTTGTTGTGATTGTCATGCATTAGGAAAGGGCTCTTGCGTTTCTGTTATAATATAGCGTGTGATAGTTCTGCCTCCTCTCTTCTGCTGCTCTGTGGTGCTCTTCTGGCTGGTGCCTAACGCAAAATAAACATCACCTTGGCCGGACATTTCATCTTCCCCAGCTGGGTTCTTCATTGAGATTGTTTTGGGCACCTTTAATGTTACAAGCATGAGATTTGTTTGTAGAAGTCCCTTTTTATGCTGAAATAAAGGATGAGAATTTTACTAAAAAAAATTTAACAACATTGAAAAACTGTTATAGCATAAGATAATCTATATTTTTGTCTTAGCATTTGATATATGGAACTTCTCATATCTTTCAAAGCTTTGTCCATTTCTAATAACCCTTGACTGTGAGAATATTTAAAAAGTTAAAAATTCTTTTTTTCAGCAGTATTTGATAATAAAAATCTCATGACTGAATGCCATCTTCTTGATTCAGTAAGTTTTCCAACTTAATCTGAAAAGTTCTTTTATATTCTAGACTTGTTTTATAAAATGAATAATACTCAGTTTTTAATTGAAATGCAGTTTAAAATTTACATCTTGTTTTTTTACTCTGAAACCATTTGTTATTCATTTTTATCAAAATGTGAACAAAATTTCGTGTTTACATACTTTAAAATATAGTTTGTTTTAGTATTAAGCTCTGAAGGTGTATTTCCTTATGTGACTTATGTGTCAAATGTGCTGTGACGAGTCGGTTGAGTACATGAATATCTAACATGTGGCCCGGGTTATGCAGGTGTTTCTAAGTGATGCAGGAAAGTGTAAGGCAAGGTTTCCACCCATCTGAAGCATGCGCTCGGGGACACGATGTCTAGCCTAGCTTCAGGTGTCATTGGTTGTTTTCGTTCTAATTTGCTTAGATTACTCTAATTATGTTCCATTTTATTTGGAAGCCCCCAGCCTTTACTTTTGGTGACTTCTTGCCTCTAACTCCAGCTCCAGCATCAGCCCTCTGGGCAGCCTTCCCGTGGACGCTCTCGTCTCTCCCGTGTTGCCTCATGTCCAGGCACAGGGGCACACGTTTAATCTCTCATGAGGAGGGGGATGTGAATGTTATGTTCCTAAAGCATGTTGTAACTTCAGGGCTCCATTTCCCTGATCCACCCTGGGCCTGTCTCAGGCAGAGCGTCTGCCTCGTGTTCAGGGCCACTGGCACGGACACGATGCAGCAGTGCTGTCTTGCCCACTGAGTGTTTGCTGCCCTGGTTTTCTGCCCTTCCACGTGGTTGTAGTTCAGCGATCTGGGGTAGACCTGTGCCAGGTCATATTAATGTGTAGCCCGGCTGAAACTCTGGTGTACAGCCTTACCTTGAAATTTTCCAGGGCAATTGCTAAAATGGCTCAGGGAATGGCCTTGGTTTGTTGATCTTTGATTTCAGAATGTAAACAATTCATTATGGCAAGTGTGGGATCAAACAGCAGCAGCTGTTGTTAACCTCATGAAGCCTGGCCAATGCTTGGCTTCCTGAAGCCACCAGTTCCTTCAGGACCTCTGTTATCTTGGCTTTCATTGGCTCTCAAAGATGCCTTCTTGGTTTTCAGGCTTCTGGGTGGCCTGGTGTGTCCGGGGCAGAAGGAAGTGTGTTACTGTAACCCACACTCTGGTCCTTCTTGGTTCCAGCTGCCTTTAATCGCAGGCTGAGACCAGAGGGTCAGGCATTTCGGCATAAGGCCCATTTATAGAAACTTGACTTCATCTTGTTCCTAGAGCTGAACTCAGAATGGTAGGTTCTGATAATATATGATCTTATAAGTAAATCTGGAAGCTAATGAATCACAATATTCTGTTTTTCATATATTAGTAATATGATTACAAGTACTTCACAGTTATCTATACATTATCTTGCTGATAAATCTTAGTACCTTATAATTTACTCTCCTTGTGAATTCTTTTCTACTTCTGTATATATTAGAATTTTGATTTTTTGATATGTTTTTTGTTGGTCCCCCTGTCCCTTTCACACCCAAATTATGACTTGCTCCATGGCCTCACTTGAGCCTGAACTGGGGCTGGAGGGGGAACAGAGCAAAGGATCCCACAGGATCCGACTAGTAAAAGGCATATTAAGTGCGGCTCTATGGGTTAGGATTTGTGGACTCTACATAAGTGGCTTAAGATGTGACCTCAGTTTTATTCATTCTGCATGTGCTGCTGAGTCCATTTACGTGTTAATCACCCTTTCAATGAAAAAAGCTATAGTTTCGACATTATATCTGCTGGAAAGTAGCATAATCATTATGTTAATAATTTTATTAGGTACAAAAATGTTATGTTATTAATTAATCCACTATTAACTTGCAATGTTGCAGACTAAGTTGGTGAAACTTGAATGTTACTTTAGTGACTTCTCTGACTTTGTTCTCTAGCCACGCCCGGGGTGCAGTATCCCTTCACGCAGGTGGAGGAGAGGTGACAGGAGCACACCAGACACTCTTCCTTTGGTGGGGGCTTAATTGCCTTTTCACCTCGAACGCCTCCTAATGGAAATCAACCAGAAGAACTGTGAATTAAAAAAAAGCAAAACATTGTTTTCATAATCTCCATGCTGCAGTGTATTCTTTGAATACTGAAAAGTTAAAGAATATGGATTCATGTTCATGTATATAGTGTTATGTAATGTCTTAATAGTTAATATTTACTATAGTGTATTTTAGCTATGATACTGTTTTTCAGAGGAAGTGGAGATATTTTTTACTTTATGCAGAATAAAAAATGCACTGTGCCTAGCCTCTCTTGTTTAAAATGTTTTAAGCTTAGGGCCGGCCCCATGGCCAAGGGGTTAAGTTCGTGCGCTACTCTGTGGTGGCCCAGGGTTTCACTCGTTCGGACATGGCACCGCTCATCAGGCCACGCTGAGGCAGTGTCCCATGTGTCACAACTAGAAGGACCACAACTAAAAATATACAACTATGTAACAGGGGGATTTGGGGAGAAATAGAGAAAGAAGAAAGAAAAACATTGGCAACTGAGATAACAACTGTTGACAATCTTTAAAAAAAAACAAAACTTTAAGCTAAGTATGTTCACAGCTTATGAACATTCTTCAGTTTAATCAAAATATGTTAAACTTTGACAGAAATATTTACATCCTTTCGTATGCTATTCTTAGTTTGAACTCTTAAATTTGCTGGTGTTGAGCAGCTTTGCAGGCTGCATTTTCCAGGTGTACTGCGTTTCTTTAGGTGAGCTATCTGGATTCTGAACTCAGTTTACATGCTGCTGTTTCAAATGGTCAAATTATTAGAGGTGCCCATTAAAGTTTTGCCTTTTTCCTTTGACATAACTGACAACCTTTGAAGGAAATGCCTTCTTCCTTTGAAGAAAATTAGATCAATCACGATGGGTTTGAAATGTTCTTTTATAAGACTCTCACCTATGAGACTGTAGAAGACAGGACCGTCAGAATAATGGAGCAGCAAGAAGACTCGGAGTAGCTGAAGCTTGTGACCAGACCTGGGTCCAGTTGTTTGTGTCAGCAAATGGGCTGAGGGTTGGAGGTGTTGACCAAACAAGCAGGAACTTGATGGATAACCCCTCAAGATTAGGGGTTTGCAAACAAGAAAAGAAAACGCATCCACTTCTGTTGTCAAAGGAAAGTGTGTTCGGCTTGTGGGGGAGACGGTGTTTATTATCAAGTCCATGTGAGCAGTTGGGAGGCTGTGTGAGGAATGTTCCCAGAATGCCCAGTCTTACCCGAGATTAAGGTAGCTTTTATTCATTAAGTCTGTCAATGAATAATTCAAGCAAGACATGCAGAACAAAGAAATATATATAGAAGTTAGGGTTTACTAAGGGTGCAGAGCCAGGAACATGTAAAAGAGGTGAGTACAAAGTAACAATATGCAACATAAGATAATATTTGCCCTCGAGGATAAAGTAGATGAGAGTAAGACAGAGTCTGTAAGCAAGGTTTTTCTCTGTGGTAGGTTTAATAAGATCTACTACTGAATCGTTCAGAAAGCTTTTGGCTGTTAAGTAGCAGTAAAGTGAACTCAAACTGGCTTAACAATAAGTCATCAGGATGATTCGAGGCACTTAACTATCAGCAGCTCAGTGATGGCATCAAGGTCCACATTCGGTCCGTAGTTCATTTGGTCACCCTCGTGGTCGACTTCTCCAAGGCGGGGTCCTTTCAGGGTCATAAGATGTCTGTGGGTGGTCAGCAGAACTGTGTCTTTCCCTTTGGTTGGGCCAACTGATGCCACTTGCCCATCTGCAGATCAACAGGAGTCAGTAGGGGATGGGAAATGGGGAATAAATGGGAAGGCAGCCATCAGTGTCTCCTACAACTAGAAAGAGTGTTCCTGGGCTATTGGACTCTAGAATCATGAGGCATGAGAAAACTCTTTAAAGACCAAATGGAAGGAAACTGCTTGAGTAGAACAAGAGCCTTTCCAAAATCAAAAAGAAAGGGCATTTCCATTTATTGAAGATCTACTACATGACGACCCCTTTGCAAACAATATTTAGCAACCACAGTAACCCTACAAAAGATGTACTATACTGCCCATTTTATAGACAAAGGAACTGAGGCTCAGAGGAGTTATTTTGTGTAAACATAGTTCCCTCTTTTCTCCAAAGCTTATGTTCTTCCATTTAACCATAGGAGAAGGGCGGTCCAGACCAGATGTTAGGGTAAGGGATTTATGTAGTTTTTACAATGTGCTGTGATGTGCTGCCCAATCCCTCTGAAGGACTGAAGAATGAACTCCTCTAGTCATCAGAAGCACAGACAGCCCGCAGTTATCATCCCATTTGAGAACGGCCTCAGGTGAAGACAGACCCTTCAACCACGTTTCTGCCCTGTTTCCCAGGTGGCCGGTACTTGTTGACTAGAGTTCAGCTATAAGGACCTGTCCCCCTCTTGACTACTCTAAAGGATCATCCCAGCTTCAGCTCACCTGCAGGGTGGGCTGAGGCATCCATGCCCCGTGTCCTCCTCTGCTCAATCCTGTGCCTTCTTGTCCCTACAGCAGTTGATCACAACAGCGCTCCCTCATAAACCACTTGCATTCTGATCTCTTTGCTTCCCGGGGAAACCAGCCTGTGACAATGAGCAATTTAAAGTACTTGAGAAGATGGTATTGTAGAGACAATAATAGATACAATAATATTTTGGTTTTCTATAAAATGAAGTCGTGTGACCACAACCTAGTTTTGAAATTTTATTATTCTTTGGGCTTGCTGGGAGAAAGGAAGGGCAGAAAGGCATAGTTAAGAATGTTGACAATGGGAACTATTAAACTTTTGAATCTGATATACATTTAATTAAGAAATGATTTTTTTCCCCTCTACAAATTTAGAGATTTCATAAAAACCAAGAAAACCTATGGGGAGATAGTCTCATGTCGGTCTCCAATACTGATTTGAAAGCAGTGAAGTATAGTTTAGAGACAAAATAGGATTTAAAAGGAGTCAAAAGAAATAGAATGCTAACAGTAATTGCCTATGGGTCAAGGGTCATCTATGGGTAAACTCTTTCTGCTTTTCTCATCTCCTGAATATATTTTATTTCCTGAAGTAAGAAAATGGGAGAATGATTTCCTTGTGGCATCTCCTGGTTTTTATGAAACCCAGGAAGAGAGAGGTTAATTTTGGGATAGTATTTACTTCTATTTCTTGTCTTAAAAAATATTTTAGGAAGTATAGAAAGCTTTGGGAGACTCCAACACAGTATTAATATTGCTACATATTTCTTTTTCCATTGTGCATTATTGAAAATCAATGCACATATGATTAAATGACATATGAAGATAGGTAACTCTTACAGTATTTAGTAAATGGATGATTTACAAGTAGAACATTGATGAATAGAGGTAAAACTTCACTCATAGTGTACATAAACCCTTTAAATGTGCAAAGTTTACATTCAATTTCATTTTTTTAAAAAGCATCTGCCCCTTTAAGATTATATCATAGTGTGCGAAGCACTGGTGACATTTATGTCACCAGAAATTCAGTTTGCTGACTTCTCTGAGATTTCTCTTCTGATGATTGTACTGCAATAAGTGAGCATCTCTGACTGCAACCTTGAAGTGGTGAGCTTCAACCAGCACTTGTATCTGAAATGGCACATACGCAGAACTGTTAGAAATGCCCACTAATTTCAAAACCAGTCTGCCTGAGCTCAGGATGCCCGATGTTCCATCTTTAAGATCATTTGTGGAACTGATTAAAGTGCAGAAAGAGTAACTTTACAGCAAAAATGAACTCTAGATTATTTAAAGATTTACACAAAAGAAAATGATAAAATTGTTAGAAAAAATATATAGTTGAAGCCATAAAGGAAAACATTAATAAAAACATAAAGTTTACATTAAAACTTAAAGTTTTTTTATGGTCTAAAACACATAAAAGTAAAAAATAAACACGAAAGTAGGACACCCCTAATAGAGTGGCAAATGTTACGAAGCTCTGTAATAACCAGTTTTGGCAAGAGCAGGGAAAACACACTCTTCCAGGAGCTCGTGTCTCTGTTAACCCTCACATCCTTCAGAAGGGGCACTTTGGCAATATCTTCTCTAAATTTTAAACATGTCTATTCTTTGAATAAAATTGTTCTTCTAGGAAGCAAAGATTTATAAGGATAGTTATTACAGTATTTCAGTAAAATAAATAAATTAACCTTCCCAGGTTTTATTTGTTTGGAACTTTCCATATTCCGAATTTTCATCAATAGAGTACTGGTTGAATTATCACACACATAAACAATGACATACCACTGGGTAACAATGTTCAAGAGGAAAAGACGTCCACCAGATGTAGAATAGGGTCCCTCCTCTCCCTGCCCTCGAGGAGCTTACAGTCGAGCTGTTTGTTGCCCACTCTACAGCCAACCACGGCCCAACAGGGAGGGCCTAGGAAATACTTATTGAATCAGCACTTAAACACAGAAAGTGTGTTGTATGTCGTAGACAATGCTGGAAAGATATTCACCAAGCTGCAGCTTTTGTGAGGATGGTAGAAGGGCTGAAGGATGGAGGACTTTTTAGCCACTTTGAAAATGTATATATATTTTTTTCATAAAACAGGCATGTATTCATTTTAGAATTAAAAAAAGATTTTAGTTTTGATTGCCGTGCCAACTGTGTTGATTCAAGGAAGCGAGTCTCAGTCCAACTGCACCGTAAAGACTTTCTGCCTTTTTTTATTAAGGATGATATTTTTCTCATTTCCAGAAGAGCTTAAACTCAGAGTGGTGGCCGCAAGCACGACAGCCGCTCCTGCCCTGTTCCAGCCTGCAGTGCCTGGTCCCCTGGGATGGGGAGGAGATGTCCTAGTTAGGTGTCTCAGGAGAGCTGATGAAAATTCATTTCAAGGGCATTGTGGTTTCGAGCGAGTCCCATGAGCAACAGACATTTTCAATATCTCATAGTAGCAATAACTTACTTTGGTTTACCACTTTCAAAGGGGAAATCTGCCTGTCTTTCTTCCTTTCCCCAGATATTATCGAGCTTTGTAATGCAAACAATGGCTCTCCTGTTGTTCTCACTGAAGCGTGGGTTAAAGTGGAAGGCGACATCATGCCCTCTCTTGAAATCTCAAGCGAGCCTGTTGTAAACCAAAAACCAGAGTTAGTAAAATGATTCAAGCTGTGCATTTGTATCAAGTGAAGAACATGCAATTTTCTAAAGAGCAAATCCTTGTATAAATACAGGATGATTTTCTAAACAGAAAACACACTGGACGGTACACTGGGCCAAGGACTGGATGTAACACAGGAGCGTCTGACAGGAAGCAAGACATCGTGCTGAGTTTTTTGCCTCGTTGTCTTGGTCACGTCATTCTAGTCACTGTCGTTCCCTCTTTACCGCCTCTACCCATGAAAGCTCTTCAAGGTTTTCTCACAGAGGTTTAGGGCCACTTTGAGGGCATTTTATGCTTTACTTTGCAGAGAATAACCGTTACCTCCTTCCTGTCCTGCCAGCCTGCTTTTAATACCTATTAACAGCAAACCGGTCACACAAATAAGAGCTTTCAAATACTTGGCTTCGTAATAGTTAACCAAAAGCCGAGTCCTGACACAGCAAGAGCTAGACAACACCGTTAAAGTTCAGTATTCCATCGCTAAGTTGTAAAGTCGTGACAATAAATGTGATAAACATTCCATGATGTCAAGTGGAACTAACAAAAGTGCTGCTTGGCTTTTTGACCCCAGTTCTTGTACTTGGATGTCAAGGCAAACACAAGTCCTGGCTGTCGAAGCACTAACTCTTTCCCTCAGTGTCTCAGCGAACCCCATAGAGCACTGACATCAGAATCAGCAGGTGCTCTGGTTTTAAAGCAACATCTGCACTCTAGACCTTTTAGCAATGATTCTCTGTATATTTTGATTCACCCAGTAATGGACACATACAGCACACTGTATCTTCCAATGATTAAATTCACAGGGAAAGGACGAAGAGAGCCAAATGACAATAGAATTTGTATTTGACTGAGTATCCAATGCCTATATTTCCTCTGCAGTGAAAAGCAAGATACTGTCATCACTACCACCTTCAGCGTTCTTTTTTTCATGTAATTCCTCACATAGAATTTGCAGGACCAAGCAATAGCTTTTTCAGTTTAGACCACCTTAACCACTTCAACCAAAATTAGTTTTGACCGGCCGCAGTGTCTGTCTGCATCTATAGTGTTACTGGAGCTAATGTTTCCAGTGCAATAACCCTAAATAAAGCAAAGATATGTATATCAGTGTGGTCCTGCATGAGAGGGGTCGTACAGGTAGGAGAGCAGATATTAACAAATCATGAGTGCTGTGTGCACAGGGTAAGGTGTGCTGGGTCCTACCTTATGTTGGGAGGAAAGATGGACGAGGACATAGGCAGAGGGTATATATGTTTTGTACTTTGCTGTGAGGCGAGCTTTATTGTGCAGGGAAGAACTGTGCCATCAGAAGCTGTACAGGCTGTGTGGAAGTAGCAGTTGGCTTAGGGTGGTGACCTTCATGCGGAACCAGAGGAAGCTGGCTGGAGGTTGGAGTGAGTGGGCCATTTGGATGTAAAATGATCATATCAGAGCTGAGTCTATCTCCTGCTTACAGAGGAGGTGGCTCCCTTTGATTCACCAGGAACAAGGTGACAGACTCATGGAGTCTGTTTGCAGATTATTGAATAAACCTGTGGGCATAGCTTGAATTTGTACCTTTTGTGTACTGTCCATAAGACCCAGAAACACAGATGAATTAATGGCTGCAGTAGCTTTATTGGTACCACTGACCTCAGGGATGGGCGTACTGGACAGCTTCAGGATATCCTTAGCCTTCTTGTTCTACACGTAGGTATAACCAGTGGTGATCACCAGGACCAGGCATCCCAGGGCAGCCATGGATCAGCACGGATTTACCTGTTAGCTCCAATCTTACCCCATCCTAGCTCACCTCAGTCAAACCAGTTCCAGTGGCAAAGGTTGATTTATTTTGAGGAAGTCTTGTAACTTGAGGGATCTGTTCAAATCTTCTAAGTATATAGAGTCTGCTCAGAAAAACTGGGGTTCTCCATCCTGCCACTTGTCAGCTGTAGACCAGGCTGACACCATAGGAATCTGTGACCCTGCTGTTGCCCCCACTATGAAGATGGAAATGGCAGCCGAGCGTGCAAGGTCCGAGACTGCACTGTGACCTGCACAACTGCGGGGAGATTTGCACGCACATCAGGACAGAGTGGCATCACTTTCAAGTGCTCAGACCAACTCAGAACAATGTCCAGTGGGGTCTTTTTGTTTTCACACCTTGTTTTTGACGGGCATGTAGACATAAAGTGCATGCTTGATTTTTTAGACAATGTATGGCTCAGAGGTGGAGGGACGGCCAGGCATCACATTACAAAAGCTTCACGTTTCCTTGACCTCTGAGACTTTCACTGCCAGGAATTACCAACAGAATGGGTTTCCTGCTCTTCCTCTTTGTCCTCAGAGAGTAGGACTCTGTTTTATTCTTGATTCTTCTGGTTTAAGATTCAGTGAGGGAAACGTTGTCCCCCTATTGGGAATACATATTGATTTATGGGATAATCCCGTACTGTGGTATAGCCAAGATTCTAAATGTGTAGTTTTAAAAATTCTAATCCAATCAACAAATACGTCAGACTTGCTAATCTTGCTGTTCACCTGTTTGCATTAGGCTTCACTGTGCCCAGAATTGTTATCAGCATGCAAGGCGTGACTCCTCCAGGCAAAGGCAGGTCGTAAAGCACAGTCTGGGATTTAAAAAAATGTATATGTAGTAAATAGTCCATTTGCACTTTTGGTATCCTCTTAATATGTTGCCTCTATGAATCATTACTGTATTGTTGTGGTAGCAAATTTTCATTATTCAAAAAAAAATTTTCAATTTATGTTTTTATTTTTTATCATTTTAGTTGCGGTAACATTGGATTATAACATTATATAGCTTTCAGATGTACATCATGCTGTATTTCAAATTCTGTGTAGATTGCATCATGTTCAACACACAAAAATGAATTATAGTCCATCCCCTCACATGTGAACCTAATCACCCCTTTTGCCCTGCTCCAGCCCCGATTGCCCTCTGGTAACCACTAATCCGATCTCTGTTGCTAGGTATTTGTTTGTCATTGTTTTATCTTCTGAGTGAGATCAGACGGTATTTGACTTTCTCCCTCTGACTAATTTCACTCAGCGTAATGCCCTCAAGGACGATCCATGTTGTCACAAATGGCTGGATTTCATCATTTCTTATGGCTGAGTAGTATTCCATTGCGTATGCATACCACATCTTCTTTATCCATTTGTCCCTTGATGGACCTAGGTTGCTTCTATGTCTTGGCTATTGTGTATAATGCTGCAATAAACATAGGAGTGCATGTATCTTTATGCCGTTGTGCTTTCAAGTTCTTTGGATAAATACCCAGCAGTGGGAGAGTTGGATCATATGGTAGATGTATTCTTAATTTTTGCAGGATACTCCATACTGCTTTCCACAGTGGCTGCACCAGTTTGCACTCCCACCAGCAGTGTACGAGGATGTGTTTCTCTCCACATCCTCTCCAACATTTGTTGTTTCCTGTCTTGTTAATAATAGCCATTCTGACCGGAGTGAGGTGATACCTCATTGTAGTTTTGATTTGCACTTCCTTGATAGCTAATGATGTTGAACATCTTTTCATCTGCCTGTTGGCCATCCGTATATCTTCTTTGGAGAAATCTCTGTTCAGATCTTTTGCCAGTTTTTTAATTGGGTTGTTGGTTTTTTTGTTGTCGAAGTGCATGGGTCCCTTGTATGTTTGGGATATTAACCCCTTATCTAACATATGGTTTGCAAATATCTTCTCCCAATTGTTAGGTTGTCTTTACATTTTGTTCATGGTTTCCTTTGCTGTGCAGAAGCTTTTTAGTTTGATGTAGTCCCATTTGTTTATTTTTTCTTTTGTTTCCCTTGCGCAGGCAGACGTGTTACTTGAAAATATGCTGGTAAGACTGACGTCAAAGAACGTAGTGTCTATGTTTTCTTCTAGAAGTTTCAAGGTTTCAGGTCTTACATTCAAGTCTTTAATCCATTTTGAGTTGATTTTTATGCATGATGTAAGGTAATGGTCTACTTTCATTCCTTTGCATGTGGCTGTCCAGTTTTCCCAACACCATTTATTGAAGAGACTCTCCTTTCTCCATCGTATGCTCTTGGCTCCCTTGTTGAATATTAGCTGTCCATAAATGTGTGGGTTTATTTCTGGGCTCTCAATTCTGTTCCATTGATCTGTGTGTCTGTTTTTGTGCCAGTACCACTCTGTTTTGGTTACTACGGTTTTGTAGTATATTTTGAAATCAGGGAGTGTGATACCTCCACCTTTGTTCTTTTCTCAGAAATCTTTTGGCTATTCAGGGTCTTTTGTTGTTCCATATAAATTTTAGGCTTCTTTGTTCTATTTCTGTGAAAAATGTTGTTGGAACTTTGATTGGGATTGTGTTGAATCTATAGATTGCTTTAGGAAGTATGGACATTTTAACGATGTTAATTCTTCCAATCCCAGAGCATGGAATATCTTTCCATTTCTTTGTGTCTTCTTCAATTTCTCTCAAGAATGTTTTATAGTTTTCAGTGTACAGATCTTTCACCTCTTTGGTTAAGTTTATTCCTAGGCATTTTGTTCTTTTTGTTGCCATTGTAAATGGGATTGCATTCTTAATTTCTCTTTCTGCTACTTCATTGTTAGTGTATAGAAATGCAACAAATTTTTGTACATTGACTTTGTATCCCGTGACTTGACTGTATTCCTTTATTGTTTCTAAAAGTTTTTTAGTGGATTCTTTAGGATTTTCTAGATATAAAATCATGTCGTCTGCAAAGAGTGACAGTTTCACTTCTTCTTTTCCAATGTGAGTCCCGTTTATTTCTTTTTCTTGCCTGATTGCTCTGGCTAGAACTTCCAATACTATGTTAAATAAGAGTGGTGACAGTGGACATCCTCCTATGGTTCCTGTTCTTAAAGGGATAGCTTTCAGTTTTTCTCCATTGAGAATGATATTTACTGTGGGCTTTTCAAATATGGCTTTATTGTGTTGAGGTATTTTCCTTCTATACCCATTTTATTTATAGTTTTTGTCATAAATGGATGCTGTATCTTGTCCAATTCTTTCTCTGCATCTATTGAGATGATCATGTGATTTTATTCTTCATTTTGTTAATGTGGTGTATCACGTTAATAGATTTGCAGATGTTGAACCATC